TAGTAGTAGTAGTAGTAGTAGTAGTAGTAGTAGTAGTAGTAGTAGTAGTAGTAGTAGTAGTAGTGGTAGTAGTAGTAGTAGTAGTAGTAGTAGCAGTAGTAGTAATAATAGTAGTAGTAGTAGTAATAGTGGTAGTAGTAATCGTCATAATACTAGCATTCGTAGCCGCATTATATTATATGGTCACTGATTTTATTAGTAGTAGTATTCATATGTAGGTCGCTCGGCCGTCCGCGCCAGGGCGCCCAACTCCGCAAAAGAAAATGCCCTGGCACGCAAACGCCGACATTTGTTTGTCGCCCCTGTGCCGCCCCGAAGGCACTTCCAAAGTGCCTTCGGCGCGGGCGACCGCGCGCGGCGCTGTTCGGCGCCGCCTTTGCGCGGCGCCAGCGTTGAAGGGGCAGGTTTTGCGGCGGCGACCGCGTTGCCAAGGTGCTCCGCTGCAGGGGTCGTTCGCCCTTCCGCACCAGGGCGCCCAACTCCGCAAAAGAAAATGCGCCGGCACGCAAACACAAATATTTTTGTCGGGCCCCAGCGGGGGCCGGCACTCCAGGAAAAGCACTTGGGAGGTGCCTGTGGGCAGCCCATGCAGCATCCCATGCAAGGCACTTTGAAGGTGTCTGCGGGCAGCCCAGGAAAAGAACTTGGGAGGTGCCTGCGGGCAGCCTAGGAAAGGCACTTGGGCGGTGCATGCGGGCAGCCCAGGAAAGGCACTTGGGAGGTGCCTGCGGGCAGCGCAGGAAAGGCACTTCAGAGGTGCCTGCGGGCCGCCCAGGAAAGGCACGGGCAGCCCAGGAAAGGCACTCGGGAGGCACCTGCGGGCAGCCCAGGAAAGGCACTCGGGAGGTGCCTGCGGGCGCCTGGGAAGGGCACTCGGGAGGTGCCTGCGGGCAGCCCAGGAAAGGCACCTGGGAGGTGCCTGCGGGCGCCTGGGAAAGGCACTCGGGCGGTGCTTGCGGGCAGCCCAGGAAAGGCACTCGGGAGGTGCCCGCGGCTGTTATAGTTTTGAGTTCAGGGATTTGGGCTTCAGGTAAGGTTTATAATTTGGGGGTTAGGGTTTAAGGTGTGAGGCAAAGGTTTAGGATTAAGGGTTTCAGGTTTAAGGTGTCAGGTTCGGGTTTAGAGTTTATGGTTATGGATTAGTTTAGGGTTTCGGGTCTGGGGTTAGGGTTACGGATTAGGTATCAGGGTTTAGGGTTTATGGGATAGGGTTTCGCGTTTAAGATTCAGTGCATCACCTGGTGGTGCCTGTGCGTCAAGGCTTGGTTGAGAGGTGACGTGCGAAATGGAACAAATCAGAAAAGCACTGGATGAACCTCAGTAGATCGTAGCACAAAGGCTACTCTCAGCACTTACAATACCTGGATTCGGTTAAGTCGTCTGCAAAAGATGTATCGCTTCCAAAACCTTTCACGGTAATAGTGTTCGCATGCAACAGGGCCGAGACCAAATGCTTGTCATGAAACAATGGAAAGGGTGGACAATACTGCTTAGCCAGCATGGATTCCGACTTCGAGGCGTTCAGTTGTAATCCAACAGATGGTAGCTTCGCGGTAGTAGCTTTTCAGCTAGCCGCATTTACCAAGTATCTGAACGAAGTGTTCCTCTCGTACTGACTTCGATTACTGTCGCAGTATCAAGTTCATCAGTAGGGTAAAACTAACCTGTCTCACGACGGTCTAAACCCAGCTCACGTTCCCTATTGACGGGTGAACAATCCGACACTTTGGGACTTCTGCGTCTCAATTATAGCAAGAGCCGACATCGAAGGATCAAAAAGCAACGTCGCTATGAACACTTGGCTGCCACAAGCCAGTTATCCCTGTGGTAACTTTTCTGACACCTCTAGTTGAACATTTCTCAGACCTAAAAGGATCGATAGGCCATGTTCTCACCGTTGATATTCGTACTGAAAATCAAAATCAAGCAAGCTTTCCCCTTTTGGTCCACATGAGATTTCTGGTCTCATTGAGCTCACCTTAGGACACCTGCGTTATCATTCAACAGATGTGCCGCCCCAGCCAAACTCCCCATCTGACTATGTCTTTCGCACAGATCAGCCATCAAAAGAAACAACCTTAGATCCAAAACTCGCTGTGGTGCAATTCTCAGTCTAACGGAATCCGTAAAATGACATTAAGAGTAGTGGTATTCTACACCTCCTGAGTCATTTCACCTCCTGAATCATTTCACAAAGTCGGACTAGAGTAAAGCTCAACAGGGTCTTCTTTCCCCGCTGATTATCCCAAGCCCGTTCCCCTGGCTGTGGTTTCGCTAGATAGTAGATAGGGACACTGGGAATCTCGTTAATCCATTCACGCGCGTCGCTACTTAGGTGACGAGGCATTTGGCTACCGGGACCAGTCTGGCAGCCTTGTGGGTCCACTTGGGCCTCTTGGGGCCCTCTTGACCTCTCTTGGGGCCCTCTGGTGGCCTCGACAGGGCCTCTTGGGGTTATCTTGGAGGCGATCAGTCAAACCGGTGGAGTGGACCGAGCACGCCCTCCCTCGGACGCAGAGGCATGGCCTCTTGGGCCAGGCTGGGGCGCTCGTGTAGCGCTCCCGGGCGCTTTCGGGGCCGCCATTGGGCCCCTGTTGGGGCTCGTGTGGGCCATCCTGGAACCATCTCGAAGCCTCGAGAGCCAGTCGGACGCGAAAATGCGACAGTATAATGAAACAGCGACTGCCCTGAAGTGGTTGAACGACGATGGCCTTTCCAGGGGGCCCTTGGGAGGCCCCTTGGACACTTGGAACCGCGTTGGGGCGGTCTTGGAATTTATGACAGGCATATTGGGAACGATCTGGATCAATATCGGGATAGTGTGTACGATCTTGGAGGCCATCTGGGGTAAGCTAGAGCCCTGTCGGGGCCGTGACCCTCCAACGACCCGCGGAAAGCCTCTTCTAGACCCAGGGAGAAGGGTTAGGGGAGAGGTATTCTCCCCGAGGAAAAGAGGCTCACACAACTAACTCGCTAAACCACCTACGCCAAAAGTTTGGTGGAACCTGGTTGCCATTGAGTGAACAACGGTTTTGTCATGCATTTCCTTGTCAGCCTCCTTCTCCTTCCTCCCCTCCTCGTTTGGCGTCGGAACCACGACGGTGCCAAATTCTGGCCCTGGCCCACCAAATGGAAACACGCGGCGGCGCCGCCGGTGATTACCGCCGACGCCCGGCCGCCGGCGAGAGGACGACAGGCGTTTACCCACCCCCTCCACTACAATATGTCCTACGGCGACGACGACGACGACGACGACGACGACGACGACGACGACGACGACGACGACGAGGACGACGAGGACGACGCCGACTGCGACGGCGACGACGGATGACGGCGCACTGCGGATGCTCCAGGGGGGGTGGGCAGATGTGCTGCGCACGCCCGCTGTAATCGACGGCGTCGACGACAACGACGACGACGACGACGACGACGGCGACGACGACGACGACTGTGGCACGTCAGTAATCAGCCTGAAAGGAGAAAAAGCTCCGCCTCGGATGTATTTGAACCCTCTACCAACATATTTACGAAAACCCATCGGTTTGAGGCTGCCGTGCACAGGGGTACACAATCCCTTCGGCGGCGCCCACGACGACCCCCTGGCGCGCGTGATTACAAGAAATGTTTCGCGCCCCGCGGGGTCATCAGTCCCCGGGGGGGATATCATTTAATAACCACAAGCTGACATTATCCTGCCGCTCTAGCATCCCTCAGTTCCGATTCGGCGCGTCGCTTCATGGGCTCGCGATCTCCTCCTCCCTGGCCCTCCTTCCCTCGTCCCCCCCTCACCGCCATCCCTCCCTCCTGCCGTGCGCCCCCCACCCCCATCCCCCCTGCCTCCCCCGGGTCCAGTCTCCTCCCTCCTCACTGTCATCCATCCTTCTCGTGTCCCTCCTCCTCTTTCTCGTCATCTTCATTCCCTCCTCGTCCTTCTCCACCCCGACTTTCCTGCTCCTCCCCTCCTCGTCCCCTGCCCGCCCTCCCGCGGCGCACGCCGACTTATCTTTCTTGACCTTCTTCGCCTCCGCTCTCTTCTTCGCCTGGCGTGCGGCGCAGGCGCCGCCAAGAAGGGGGGATGGGGGGGCGGGGGGGGGGGGGGGGGGGGGGGGGGGTGGGGGGCGAATCGGGGAAGCAGGGTGGGCAGGGGGCGTGAGGACCACAACAACCCCAGAGGAACCCGAAACACGCTTGGGAGTGTATATTTTGACTGCGCCGAAAGCGGGCACGACATCGTGCTGGCATGCGTGTGGAAAGGGTCCTGAGGGAAACAGGTCCAAGACCCCAGGACTTTCCCCAGGACCAGTTCTCCATCCTGGGTCGTCATTTGACGGCCCAGGGGTATTGGAATGACCCTGGGAGGCCGAAAACAGCAAAACCATTCAAGACCCCTTCCCCTCAGGACTCGTCTTCTATCTGGCCAAGCATGCGCGACATGGTGACAGGCGACGGGGGCTATGATCGCGGAGCTTTGGCCACAGACGGACTGACGTGCACCACACTGGGCCCCAGGGCCCCGAGTAGATCTCGACTGAGAAGAAGGCTGGTATCCTTTGAGGCATGCCCGCCAGGAGGTGAGAGACAGCGAACATCACAACAATGTACAGAGTGGCTGCCTTCTGAAAAGGCGGCGGGGCTTCTCGGAAGCCCTCGCGCCTTCTGAGAAGCCCTGTAAGCCTTCTCCGAAACCACAGACGGCTCCTCAAAAGAGGCGATGAATTTGAGATGCCACACCTTGTCCCCTCGAGGTGGTGAGGGGTGAGCGGCGGGGGGCGGGAGGTTGGGGGGGTAGAGGGTGGACACTTCATGCGAACCATGGCAAGCTCGTGTCGTGACGACGCCGGCGTTGCTTACTGGGGATCGTTAAAGCTTGAATGATCAGCGTCTTCCGATCGCCAGGTCGGTCCATACCGGCCGCCCTCGGGCCACTGGCGGCCCTCAACCTGGAACGCCCGAGCTGGGGTCGCCGCCGCGTCGACACAACACGAGCCCACCGTAGGTAG